TTGCCTGTTTAGCAATTATTTAAATTGCAGACATTGTTCAGCCTGGAATGCGTGTCTCTCTGCTCACGTCTGTATTTCTGCCAGAGTTCTTACTTCTAAGGACGGTGGAGTATCGGGTTCTGGACATTTTAAAAGACGCAAGTTGATAGCAAAGCATAGCAGCTGCGTAGTGTCTCTAGGCAACTGTGACAACAGTGCCGGACCGAAGCGTTCCAAAGGGTTATGGGGGGTCCTTTATCTCCTGCCACGACAGTTTAGCTGACCTTAATATTTCCTGTGTTTTATTTTGGTCATTATTGTTACCTTAGTGTTGATGTTGATATGTGTGTGATAGGTGTGTCTATTGGACATTTATAGAAATACGTCCAAATCACGTCCCGTATTGGTTCAATACGGGATGCAGCATTTATCAGCTAAATACGGGACGATTCTGTATTTTACGGGATGGGTGGCAACCCTACCCTGTATATTTCTGAGGGTTTTTTCTTTTAGCTTCATAATGTTTGATAACAAATATTAAAACTTCTCAGTGTTTGACATTGTCTAGCAAAATGTTTTTACGTCAGGCTACAATAGAAAGTTCAATTCCAATGGTATCAATGACATCAGCATTGATGTCATCACTCTATGATATCACAAGGGAATCTCTCTCTTGAATGTAGCTCACAGACACCGTTTCCTCAGACCTGTTCCACAGTTCTATTGCAACAGATCACTCTTCAGAGCACGTTCGAAATCGAAAAAGCGAGATATCGATCACAGATATTACACGCCTTTCAGTCAAGAAAGAATTTACCAGAATATCAACATGAAGCAACAACAGATTAGTTGTGAACATGAAGCTTTTCCAGCTGAGCTTTCATGGGTCGAAATGATGGACCTCAACATCCAAGTCGATTATGGCACTATCATTTTCCCTTTGGAAGATGACAGTGACAGCCCCATTGAGCCATAAGATGAATCAGCAGAGATCCAGGGGGAACCAAGTCCTTCCGGCAACTTGAAGAGTCCAACATCATTGAAAGTTGAGCAGGAAACAACTCCCTCTGCTGACTTCAAGATCACCCCCTTAGTGGAAGACGTGGAATTCAACCACGTCTTCCACTGGTTGATGGACCTCCAATCAACCAGGGAGGTCTGAGGAAAGATGGACCTCCAATCAACCCGGGAGATCTGAGGAAAGATGGACCTCCAATCAACCCGGGAGATCTGAGGAAAGATGGACCTCCAATCAACCAAGGAGATCTGAGGAAAGATGGACCTCCAATCAACCAAGGGGGTCTGAGGAAAGACAGACATCCATGCCTCCAACCTCCACAGGTAGCATGGAGGGCCTTCATGTTGACACTGGCATGAAGGCCAATCTATGCCCGGCGCGGCCTTTCACCGACCCACACCCAGGTGGCACTAACCTAGATCACTATCCAAACCCAGGTTTTGCAAACACTGGGCATTATTAAAACCAATCAGAACCAAACGTTTGCCTTTTGGTTCTGATTGGTTTCTATTCAACGCATTAGAAACCAATCAGAACCAATCAAATCAACTGGTTTCTAATGCATTGAATGTGTCTCAGCACATTAAACACATTAGTCTACTGGTATGCTGCAGCTATGCAATTGGCAGAAAAACAACCTAACATTATAATAATTATTTATAGAATGATTTAGAAAACAAAGTGCAATTCAGGTTTGTCAAAACTATTTCAACCCATATTAGAACTTTGCATTCATTTCCCTTCATTTTAGTAGCTGTGATTTTGCCTAACCCACACATGTTCCCTAACCTTAACCAAGACTCGTCTATTCCTAACCCTAACATTAACTAAACCTTAATTCACATCTTACCTCTAAACATTGTCCCCGACCCAAAACAATGAATCCATCATATTAGGACCAGTGGTAACAATGACATCAGCAGCGATGACATCATTCTTTGATGCATCAAAGGAATCTCTCTCAACTGACAAACAGGAGCAGGTTTTTTCAGACCTGTTCCTGTTTCAGACTTGTAAATTATGAAACTTCTCCAGGAGCTGTTAAAATTATTTGAACGCACAGGATCAGCCCAGTACAGGTTCACATTCTCAGGTGAGAAACTCGCTTGGTATGAAGTTAATTTTTCATTACTGGAATTACATTTATTAATTTAATCAAAGTATGTCATGAATATGTGTGCATATGTTCCATCTTAAGTCCAGAGCATTTGTTGCTTTTTCCACCACTAGATGATATGCATATACCATATATAACATAAACAACTTTACTCAGAGACGCAATGAGTTTATAGTAGATCTAATCGTCTGTTGATTTCCAACAGTCACAGAGGGCCCCAAAATAAAATTTTGCTTAGTCCATATGGAGGCTTGGGCCCGCAGCCCTGATGCCAACATCTCCAGAAAACATATTAAAGATTGTAGCATGTGTTCTGGTGTCAGTGTAACAGATGGTGATTTTCCTGCAAAAAGAATAGAACAGGTAGGAGTGATGAGGCAAAAACGGGTCTGCAGTGTTCCTCTCCTGATCCATTCTGTCTGATATCAATCACATCATACAGCAGCACACAGCACCATGATGGACACATTTTTTAAATAATTGCCCGTTTAGCCTGGAATCAGACATTGTTCAGCCTAGAATGTGCGTCTCTCCACTCAAGTCTGTATTTCTGTCAGAGTTCTTCTTTCAACGGACGGTGGAGTATTGGGTTGAGGACATTTCAAAAGACGCGGGTTGATAGCAACTCACCACGGCTGCGTAGTGTCCGTCTCTAGGCAACCGTGACAACAGCGTCGGACCGTAGCGTTCCAGGGAGTTGGGGAGGGGGAGGGGGGTTCTTTATCTCCTGCCACGACAGTTTAGCTGACCTTAATATTTCCTGTGTTTTATTTTGGTCATTATTGTTACACTTAGTGTTGATATGTGTGTGATGGGTGTGTCTATCGGACATTTATAGAAATACGGAACAAATCGTGTCCCGTATCGGCTCAAGTCGGGACGCAAGATTTAACATTTATAAGCCAAATACCGGACGATTCTGTATTTTACGGGACGGGTGGCAACCCTACTAAAAAGATGAACAGCTTACACTTTAAGTGACACATACACTTCCTGGCAATTCAATTCAGTTTATTCATATATCATCAGTTTGCAACAAATGTCATCTCAAAGCACCACACAAACAACTGAATTGAATATTCATGATAATGCAGTAATACAGAAAATTTAGTCAGTTACATAAATAGCTACCTGTTCAGTTCTGGTTCAATATTACAGTCAAGTTTATTATTCTAGCTGGTGAAAAGTGTTTTGTTTGTTTGTTTGTACCAACGTTTCCGCTGACCACAAAATAGCGCAAATTAATTATGAAAATGAACTTGTTTAATACAAACAAGACAATTTTGAAACAACTCACATTTTTCGATAAAAGGTTTTCACCGTAGAATGAGGTTTTCGGTCTTAGACGGTGTCGAAACTTGTGTATTTCCCAAAAGCTGCAATGGAAACACTTTTTCGCATCAAACATAGTTTGAGTCGAGTCACGTAATCGACACCTGGATGCCACTGATGGCGGCAAACACGAAGGAGACGACAGGAAGTGGTAAGAGGATGACGGCACGTCATATTTTTAATAACTTACAAACGCAAACGACCGTATTCACGTGTGATTTAAAATGCGAAACGTACACCGCAATTGGAAAATTGTGTTTTTGTTGCGCACGTTTGCTACGGTAGCGGAGAAGAGGACGTTTAATCAAATATGACTGAGGTTGTATTTTTCAGAATGTGTAGTTTGATGAACATTTAAAGCTGTACCTTTTTGTTTGTAATCTAGACACATTTTAAGTTGAAGAAATTAACAAAATCACTTGAAAATTTCAGAAATAGCACGTTAAGCCAGGGCTTTATAATATAATAGGGAGCTTTGAATAACACTTATGCTGTTTACTTTTAACAGTAAGGGCTATAATCTCTATTCAAGAGTCGGCAAATACCAGTATAATCCCTTAAAATCGGTTTAAGCTTCTGTTGAACCATTTAAACCTAAACAGTGCTCAGCTTCATATTGTAATTAGCCTGGATTTAGCCAAACTGTCCCAATCAGGCAGATGTTTACACTTATTCTTCGGAGCGTTCTTTCTCTCTTTCTTTTTGTCCACTTATAGCAATCTCCTTCAAATGGATGCCAACTTGTTGGGCACTTCGTCTTACTCAGATTGAGGTTCTAATCAAAGCCCTCGTCTTTGCATGCACGCCAGAAACGGAGCACTCAAAACACTCAAATGGTGAGATTTCGCTCACTGTGAGTTGGAGGAAATGTGAGATTCATGAGACGGTTTAAATCTTCCCCGTTTTTTTTTTGTTTTTTTTTTAAGAAATCAGAATGCAGCGCAGCTGGTATAAGCTGGCATTTGCAAAATGTCTTCTCAGTGATCCGTGAAAAAAAAAAAAAAATACATCATCAAGCGAAATATCCTACCCACGCCGTTTCATCTAACATTGAGGGGAAAACTTTCTGTCTCTTGGAGACGAGTGGAAGCCTGTTGAGGGGAAAAGAAGGTGAGAGGAAAGACGAGCCTCTAAATGCTTGTGGGGAGTTGGAAGCTTTTGTGAATCATGCAGACTCAAAGCTTGGTCACTCATTGGGAAAATTGGTGTAAAACACTCTCGTCATTACATGAAGTCGAGGTGTTATCTCCAGCAATTGTAGACAGCGGCTCATCATGAATACACATGGCAGAAAAGCTCTTGTGTCTTGTAAAATGTGTAAAAATAAATGTTTGTTTTTTTTATTCCTCAAAGCAAAGTACTCTGTCTATTGTTTGACTTTTGAATCCTTAAATAATGGGTTTACAGCTCTGAAGAATGACACAGAGCAAGGCTCATTAAATGGAATTAATTAAACTCAGTGTTACAGAAAAGCGCTAATATTTTATGTTGTGTGAAAAAACTCTGCAAGTTCCACAAACCTTCTTTTTTATTCCCGTCACTTTCACATTCCACATTGGCGTTATAGTAGCTCCGCATGTGTAACCTGTAAATCTTTAAGACTTTGTGCCTCAGCCTTCTGAGGTAACAAATCTTAACTGTGGCTCACACAAGTGAATAAATTTACTTAAACTATTGTGTTACTTTTGCAAGATTCTAAAACTATAACTATTTCACTGCAAAACCCAGTTTATGCCAGTATTTGCTATTTTAAAGAACAATAATGTTAAAATAATATTGAAAATTGACAATTAAATATAGCCTGATGTTTATGTAGACACATGAATATGTTAGCAATTTTCCAGCTGAAAACAGACGTCTACACATGTTTAAAAAGGGACATAAGCAGGGTTTATTTTTGTAGTCAGACATTACATTTCTTACATTTTGGACCACTTAAGATTAGCACAATTATTTTCCCACTTGTTTACTGTTAGAATAATTAGAAACATTTTCTTCTAATACAGAAGTTTGAAGAAATGTTTGATTGTATTTACCCAGAATGCCCTGCTCTGGAGTCCACTTCCTGCTTTGGGAGATGTTGCCTTTGAATCCACCCACAGCCACAGATATACCTGTTGATTAAAATTTTGTAAACCAACCAGAAGTATAAAGACATTAATTTATCGTCGTGGTGTCGCTCAGTTTTTTAAAGGTACAGTAATTGTAGCATAAATAAATAAAATGTCTGAATTTGAAGAAAATCAAGCAAGACTTTGCTTGTCGTTCTTCTGTTAAGCAAACAGAAATATTTTTGACCACCCTTACTGACCTGAAACAAGATTTAATGTGAGAAAGAAAAAAAAAAACATTATATCTCTAAATATCTTCCCTCAACTGCTGGTTGGATTGATTTGAGCTGCCGGTTTATGTTTCTTGTGAATCTGGTGTCATCTACAGAAGTTCATTAAAGTTATTTAAAGTTGGTGAGCCAAAACATATTTCCTCTTCAAGCGTGTTCCGAGTTAATTGAGCTAATCCTTCGTCTGGTTAGCGTAGCCCTGTAAATGCAGCGGGTTTACACTTCTCATCTGGTCTTTACCTTCCTTAATATCACACAGAACTAATAAGAAAAGACACATTTTATTGTGCAGGCTAATAAAGAAATCCATATTTGGCTCAATCTAAAGAGGACTCATACTCAAGAGGCTATTCAGCTCTCGAGAAGCAATTATTTAGGCTGAAGCTAATTGGTGCACTGTACAATCTAATTAGCTGTGCATGCTGGGATCCTTCTGTTGCTGTTGTTAAAAGTTCCCAGGCTTCTTTTCAGAAAGTCTTACCATAACAAAGAGGGAAGGGATCGTAATAAATAATAGATTTATGTTTTGAGCTTAATATCCTCGGTGAGAGATCTTGTAAAATAGCCAATGATTTAAATGTAGCATTGCAGCAATATTATGTGTCAGTGCTACTATAGTTGAATATGGTGAGTTCATTCATATTTAAACCAGGTCGCTCTAGAAAATAGTACTTCCTGTCTCAGTGACATTTACCCGGACAAATAAAGGTGAATTTAAAAGAAATATTTTTAAAAATGCAACGCACTAATGAGGAAAATTGACATCAATGATGTTACAAGTCATTCAAGTTTCTAATTCATGAAAATAATTAATATCAGCAACTGCGACCATCTCTATAAATGCAGTAGTTATGTCATTATGATGTCATTGAGGGTGTGTTAGCACAATGCTAAGTGAGGAAGAACATCCTCAACAACCTTAATGATGAGGCTCATTAAACTGCCAGTGAGAAAGAAAGATGGTTCACAAATCTATTAAAAGTAAAACATTTGTGACTGTAGTGTTTGAAAACAGACCAAAAATTATTTATTTTATATAAAGGAGACCAGGAAAAGTCCTCTGAATGAACCATCAGACTTCTGGAAAAATGTATTTTGGATAAACAAGACTTTATTATTATTATTATTATTAGTATTATTTTGTGTCCACCTTCTCCTTGTGAACTTCTCATGTTGGTGTGGGTGGCTAGCGTTTAGAAGACCATTTTGCTTCCTGTTTATTTCCTTCTGTGTCCATTAGTCACCTGGTCTAGGTTTCCTGCTCAGGTTCTGTCGCAGCTTTTTGATATGCCAAAACTCAAAATTACTTCAAAAATGTAGTCTTTTGTTATATTTTTCACCCGTGGAGGTCACCATTTTTTCACCGCTGGGTTGATAACGCATAATGGTCCATTCTGTACCGGAGTCTACAGAGTAAACACAGGAAAGCTACCTTTACCCCAGTAGCTGTTTATGATATTGCGTTTGACTGGTGTCATTTTAGATAATGGCACACTGTGTCACTATCGGCCGTGATAAAAAATAAGAATTGAGAAAAAAAATCTGGATAATTTCCGACATGAAAGAAAGGAGAGCGCAGTGCGAGAGCCGGAGCGGAACACAACGAAGTACCTAATCTGGACCCTGGACATTTCTCCACAACACTTTGAGCCATTTATACCAGCAGAGCCAACGAAGGCTCTAACAGCCAACGTTAAGGTAGCGTTAAGGTGATGGCTACCTTAACGAGCTAAAAATAAATGCCGTGCTGCCGCTGAGACAGGCAGAGCTGGATGCTCTTTGAGATGCTAACAGGACCTATACCGCCTGCGGTATTGACGTCACCAATCGACCAGGTCCATGGCGGTCCGGTGTCGGTGGTAATTAAGTTCAGTGTGGCTGTTACCACCGCACCGAACTCTAAGCAGCACAGCTGATGCCGAACCAGACACAGCGCTACAGACACTGGGAGAAACGTCAAAGACAAGCAGCGCTAATGGGCTATTACTACTGGAAATGCTAATGGACCTAGATCACCGGTACTGTAAAACCATTATGACCTTGAACGAAGTTCATACGCTGTTACCGAACTGGACACAGAGCTACAGAAGTACTTACCGGATCACACAGTCCGACCACAGGTAAGTGTCATTCATCGTTTCATTATGAAGCTGAAGGCAGCAGCAAAACACCAGCTCCTACAGCCAACTCTGTTCTCTTCATCACCTCTTCTGATTTCTATCTTCCGATCGTTTTCATTGCACTCCGGTTCAAATTAAAAAGGATTATATAACGGTACTCATCACTGTTTAGGCCGGAGGAGTCAGGCAGTTGGACCGTTACACGTCATTTACCCAGAATGCATTGCAGTATGAAAAACATGGCGACATTCCTGTGAAAATATTTTATTAAAATTTATAAAAAAAAACTAAATAACCTACTGTATTATTACTGTATTGTTTTTACATCTGAGATAAATATTTCCCAAATAAGGTCTATTTTTATAACTAGTCGTAATTCCCTTTAAGGACGAAGGCAGCATTTCGAAATGGTAGTGAAATTGGGACAGATGAGACTAAAGAGGACATGTTTGAACTTAATCCACAGAAGATATTTGGTGAAATTTTATTTATTTCCCTCTTTCTAGTGATAAGACAGTGTTTCTGATGTGTTGCTCAAAGTGTATGTAGCAATTTGCTGATACACAACTCCCTGGCTGAGGTTTTCTTAGATACTAATAATGTGCCACATAACACAGCAGCAAACAAAAGATCTATATCACGTGTAGCTAATACAATCACCATAACGGCGCACACACACACAAACAACACAAGTGTGTTTAAGAAGCTAAGATATTAAAAGTGAGCGTAATCTTGTTACGTTTCCAGACAGTTCTCGATCTCAGCGATAGAGAATGTTTTCAAATCTGTCATAGTATTTTATGGAGCATGCTATTCCAGATAAAGATGTCGGCTATTTTGCAGCTGTTATTAAAAGAGCTCGTGATGACCTGAGCTACAATTTCTGAACATTAATAAAAAGAAAATCAAAGATCACTGAAGCATTGAAAACTCATAAAGCCGTCCTGTATCTGATCATGATGCCAAGGAATTATTCATAATTTTAAGAGCCTGACTGGAAACAAATAGCTCATTCTAAACTGTACAGCAACATGATAGAGGGTTAGCAAATGACACTGGATTCAAATCTGAAGCGTCTTCTTGACATCTTGAGATTTGTCTGAGATTTGTACATCAACCGAAACACGACGGCAAACACAGCAGCATCTCTGCAGTGGAGAGAGAAAAAAGAAAGGAACCAAGAAGCTGCAGTGGCTCGGTCAAAGTCTAATCTACTTGCTTTGTTGCCATTAATGTATGCAGCGAAAAAGGACAAGAATTAACATTTGCTGTTTGACTCTTTCTCTTTGACTTCTTAATTTAACGGCTTGAAATTGGGCCTCTGTCACTTTAAGAAACTTCTGCTATTTCTGAAACTCCACCTTCCTAAAGTCATCACAACATGGCTCCTCTATTAACCCTTTAACAAAGTTTTTGCCAGCATTACACTGAGAAGTAGGTCCTATAACGAGTTCAGCTGATGCTCAGTTCCACCAGGTGTTTG